GCATTTCCAGCCCTATTTAACCCTTCTTTTCCCCTAACCAAGCCTCCAAAACCCTCCCACTCACTCTCCATCAGCCGCAACCCTCTTCTCCCTCTCCACTCCCGATCGTTGCCTCCATCGCACACCCCGGCGACCAACGAACAAGGACCACGGCCAACTCTCGAACCCCTGCCCTTGTTCGAGTATCTCTAGGCCAGAAAAGAGCAGCCCACCTCTATCCAAGGTGATCCCAGCCCCAGCGAGCCGAGCCCCGCCGTCGAGCCGCTCCCGTGCGTTCTTTCGGCCCTTCGAACCACTTTACCTTGTGATTTTTAGTGCAAGGACCACGAGAACGGTACTTGATGGTTGTACCTTCTCATTTTAATGTGTTTTGGGTTTTTTCATCTTGGTTTAAATCGGATTTGCCTTGGAATGTTTGAATAATGTGAAAATTATGCATGTTTGAAGGGATATTAGTGTGTTCTTGATGAAACCTCGTTAAAATCATGTTAGGGTTGTGGAATATGGAACATTTAAAGTCTTTTGCCTCATGGTGAAGGTCTTAGATGTTGTAGTTGAGTAATTGGTCTTTTATGCATTTTTGAATCAGGTATTGCTGTTGAACTTTTGAAAAATCATCATAAATTGTGTGTTGGTCCGATTACTGTGCAAATTGAACTGTATGTCCCTCTGTTGGTATTATATATGGTTTAAATATTTCAAGTCGAAATAGTATCTGTAGCCTTGTCAATTTTCGATTTGAAACTCTGGGCATGAACTTTGGAAAATCATTAAACATCGGATTCTTGGTGTTTTGCTATGCTTTCTGGTGAGTGTTAGTAATCTGATGTTATATGTGTTGTGTTCAAATTTCGTTGAAAAATTCAAAGGATTTCCTGGAGAACTAGAAAATTCAGATTTGCATCGTCGTTTTGTAAAAATTGGTTGCTCAAGTTAAACTGAGGTTTTGAGTCTGATACTTTGTGGAAATATGCCTTTCTGGGTCTATTATTATGTGTAAAAATTTTAAGTAAATTGGTCGAGTACTTTATAAAATCGGTCGGTCCTATTTGAAACCCTACC